TATATTTTGATATATATATATATATATATGCAAATGAATGTATTCGTCGAAATATATCCGGCCACAAGTTTTTCAGTGTACTTTCTACAATCAGTAAGCGCCGGTGATCACCTTGGGTATATGAACTTTGACCAACTAACCATTAAAACGCAAATCCAATCCTTAATTGAGTGAAAAGGAACCAACACAATGACAGTTCAGCCGGCTGTCTTTTTCCGCTCTTTTGTGAATGATCGCGGCTTGACATAGGAGTGACTCTGTCCACCCAACTGTCAAATTGTCCGGGCGGTGTGGCCCCTGATCTGCTCGTCTGCATAGTCATCGGTGCTGATGGACTCATCAGTTGGGCTCGGAGCGGGGGGGGGGGTGTATAACCAACAACATACCTAGATTCAAATTCACCATCCGTGCAAACTGGCCGGTGGATGCGTGGTCTTGTGAATAACATCCAAAGGGTTACCTAGCCAGTCCTTTGTCGCCCGCTTGATGAGTCTCAATGAAGACGAAATCGGTGTTGTTACTGGAAAACCTACATCACTGATTAGTAGACCCCTACTTCTCTTCCAATCCGGAACACTTTGTTGGCCAGAAATCGACATAGTTACACACGTCTGCAGTATTTCCTCACCTTCAACGTATCCCACTTGTTTCCGATCCCACGAGCGGTGGCCTTCTGCTTTCTAATCCCGTCCGGCTTCACTCACTGTGCTCTATCGGTACTTCTTTTGTTCATTTGAATGTTTTCGTATGCGGCTTGATTTTTTGTAGTATTTTGTCAAACTATCCCCCAACATTTCCAACCCCTCTCTTCAGAATATTTACCCCAAAACTCGCCACTTGCGCTGCAGTTCTACGCCACATGCTATGCTACCTCAACTGGCCTCTGTTTGTTGACCTTCGCCCTATCACTCTTGACGAAGCACGTTACTTATAAGGTTACTGTTCGACAGTCCATGATCAGTGTCACCCTTTTTGGGACTGGCCAAGTGATTCTTGGCAATTGACTGCTATTGCCCACTGTGTGCATTTGGGGCTCCAGTGGTTAATGACATTGGGAGAAATGTCAAAATCGCGCAGTCAACGGCTCTCGTGCATCAAGGCTATCTCCCTCACTGCGTAGCTACCCAATTTCTGAACAAACTGAACATGCTTTCGTCTCCAAGGCTTGGTTGTATGTTCCACTTTACCGTTTTCCGGCAATCCAAACTGTAGCAGCTGGAACCAATGAACCTATGGCACACGGTTAACAGCTGGTAAATTGAATTGATTGCTTAGCTCGGTGGTTAGAGCGCGAATTTACTGACCAGAAGGTCCGTGTTTCGCACCCGACCTCTGTCTTTCGACTTCTATCCTGTCCAGGCTTGGGCAACCTGGCGATATTCCAGCCTTCTTGCTTCTTTCGGGTGGCATGGCAGCTAGGCAACGAAAGTGTGTTACTTCTGAACGGTTGTGCGAGCTGCGTTTGAGGTAGCTCAGTGGTTAGGATGTGAACCTAATGATAGGAGTTCCATGGTTTTCGAACCTAACCTCGGCATCTCGACTGCCTCCATCCAGGCCTGGGCAACCTGGGAGTATTTCAGCCCTCGTTTTCTTACTTCAATGGCAAAGGAATACGGCTCGACACCGGATTTTTCTGTTCTCACTAATCATAGTCCATGGCGCGGTTTTAGGTTCCGAAGGGTTTCTCAGATGTTATGGAAGGGAGTACCGACGAAGTGTCTCCTGCAGTTCTTTCCCCCCGTCTGCCTGAATCTCATGTGCAACCGCGTTCAACCCGGAAGGACAAGTGGGCTGGTTTATTGACCGTTGAGTATTCAATTCGGACTTAGCGCTCATATCTTACGAACATGAAGTTCTGACCGTTGGCCCTGGAAATTCAGATTTTTCAACCAGATTATTGATAGACTTCGTTCTTTTTTTGTTGGTTTACCCTCGTCTCCAGAATGGAAAAGAAAATAAGTCATGCAACTGTGGTAGCTTCTAGCCATTCCGAGACGTGAAGGGAGAAGGAATTAGTCGGTAACTAAGGTCTGGATTCGAACCCTGAGATTCCTGGTCGGTGGCTCATTCACTAACCACTGGGCAGTCACCATCATTAGATTTCTCTGCTCATGACAATCGTGGAGTTGTAGTACCCTTTCGGTGCCTAGCTGCCATGCAACCCGACGGAAGGACGAGGGTTGAGGTACTGCCAAGCCTAGACAGGAGCTATTGAGATACCGGTTGTTGGATTCGAACGAGGGACCTTCTGACCAAAAAGTTCGCCTCTTGACAACCAGACTCTCTCTCTCTCTCTCTCGAGCCATGCCAGTTTGGACGTGCAGGTAAAAAAACTCTGAGATTCAGTCAATTAATTTCGCCAGAAGGCACCTTTCATCTGTCGGCCGTCTCGCCTCATTTCCACTCGGATACCTCTTAGTTTAATTCCATGACATCTTGTTTACTTTGAGGTTTCCGTGAATTCAAACACAACAACACGAGGTTTATTACGAGATTTATGTGATCGTAATTTATGATCTTTCTGCCACATTTGTTCATTTCCGGCTGTCGTGACTTGTAGTTTTCCAGTTGCAATACAGGTGTGTGCAACACTATCGATCGGAGTGTTCTCTGAGCGTCGGTGTTTTTATATTTTCAACGCACCGCGCATATCGATTGAGTCCACTTGCGTACATGTGAAGCTTAGTTTTGTTATTTGGTCTGATTTTATTTGGGCTTGGTTTGTTTGATATCAGCCGTCAGGTGCACTTCGTCGGTTTTTTCATCGTGCAGACGGGTGGCCTGTTTTAACACCGCCTGTTTTGTATCATGTGTAGTAACGGTAAAGGAAAGCGGTACCTCTACAGATATCTCTAAAGTAACTAACTTTTGTTGACCTTCGAAAGCTCTTGGTATATATGGTACTGAGATAGCTTCGTGGTTAGGGCGCGAACACACTGACCGGAAGGTCCGTGGTTCGAACCCGGACTGCCCGTGCCTAGGTTTGGGCAGCCTGACACTACCATAACCCTCGTGTTCCCTTTCGGACGGGTGTTGCAGCTGAACGATTATTATTTCATTTAGTTCATTTGTAAACGGCCGACTCGATACCAACGGACCATCTTCATAGACAGTCGCATTGATGGATTTTTGTTGTGACCATTCAAAGCTCGACGAACTGCAGCTCTGAGCCATCAAAAGACACTTATCGCGCATCACAGAGAGTTCAAACATGGTTATGATAGCCGGCGATTTCAGTGCACGAATGGGACGCGTCAGTTCATCAGAGGCACACTCTGGCCACCTGTTTAGTCTGGGCGAAGAACTCAACGATGACGTCGGGGCTTGTATGCAACCTAGCATCTGCATGCTACTGATCAATGTCGGGATTAACTTGATCACATCCATCAAATACCGACAGACTCTGGCGCTCATTCTGGACTACACAGGTTGATTCCCATTGCACTTTCGTTCAGGGCACATTTTCTTCAAAAAAAAACTAAAGAAATGAGCTTTGAAAAGCCTTGTAGGCCCCAATTCAAGGCTTAAAATGTATTCTTTTACAGGAATCCTTCCCGGAAGACGTTAGCCGTAACTGGGGTGTGATAAACACAGTTATGCGGAACCTCTGTGGCGTTTCCGAGTGCCTATACTGGATCCCAGAATGGTGCGGGACGCAGTGTCTCTTCCAGCTATAAAATTGATTGGGTCTAACTTCAAATGAAGCCCACCTTTGGACAGGTAGGAGTGGTAAACCGCAATGTCTAAGATCTGGGTCAGACCGATGCAGCCCAGATAGTGTGTGTGATTTGTTTGAGTCAATCCATAAAAACAGTAACCAGGATTCCGTGCTTTAGCGCTTCATTTACTCAGACATAATGTTAAGAATCTGACTTAATGAAAGTTCGCGTTGAGTTCGCGTTTAGACGCAAAAGCGGACTGACTAGTTGACCCTTGTTCGATCCGCCCAACCTGAACCGTTGTGGTCTTTCAGTCGAGGTCCCCCCGGTTTGCCAGCTGTAACACCCTCTCGGTGCCTAACTGTCATGCCATCCAAAGAAAGCACGAGGAACGGAATACTGTCCAGACAGGGGAAGTCGAGAGGCAGAGGTCGGGTTCGAACCACGGACCTTCCGGTGAGTTATTTCGCGCTCTAACCACTGAGCCATCTCGCCTCCCCTGAAATTCCACCTGGCTGCCGGTTCAGATGAGTTTCAACTAGCATTACTCAAAGATCATGGTTGGTGTCTTGCTTTGAGTTTTCGAAGCCAGGAATAAGTCGTAGGCAACAAACGCGAATCAGTCTTTCGCCTCAAAGAGGTCCACGAGGTTTCCCTCTTTTAATCACGGAGCTATAAGCCTCGCAACTAGAACACCTGCACGTAAGAGAGAGAGCCTCAAACAAAATTTCGACAGGTAGGTGGTGCACTATTCATTCCATCAAGTGTTTGGGCAGCGCAACGTGCATCAACCAGTGATGAGCTCTTTGACTTTGAAGCGGCTTTAACTCTGTGAATAAAGTACCACGCCTAAATACACTTGGACGGTATATTTCGTGTCATTTATTACAACACATTTCTTTCCCTGTCTAGTCTTGGGTGACCTGGCAGTATCCCAGCCCTCGTGCCACACGAAGGGGGCTGGCACGAAAGGGTGCTACAGCTGAACGATTTATTCATTCATTCCCACACATTTGTCGCGTTAAAGTTTACAATGTATCGTCCAAAAGTTCCTCTCTCCACAACCCGCGAGTTTCACCACGACTGTTCTCCATTTCACACCCTTTGTTTTAGTTTTGTCGGTGATATGATTGTGGAATGCACGCCTTAATGGGCAAAAAACCCAAGAGTCAAGATGGCACCTTGGATTACGTCTCCCTGTTGTCCAACGATCACCAGTCTACACAGTTTAGTCTAAATATAACGTCGGCCATTCCCCTTTCTGGCGTACAGTCTTGCTTTGGGATCTGCGGTTCTGTTGTGTGACCTTGAAACTCCAAACTTTTCGACTGCCATTACTCGGTCTGTATATCTTGGCAGCCACTTAAGCTATCTATGATTTTACTGTGACGAATCAAGCGTATACGCGCATCAATAGAGCGTGGACAATAGTTGCTAGCTTGCGTCAATAATGGCGTCAAAAACAAACCAACCATCTAAATATTTGAGTAAAGGTACGATCGCACATAGTAACCGGCTGCCGCGCGTATGGAACTGGGTTAGTAACGAGGTGATTAGAAAACGGGTATTCGGTTGTGCTGCGGGCACTTCAATCCGAGGAAACATCCAGCATCATCGACTACGATGGCCGGAACACCGTCTACCGAGACGAGTGTTGTCCTCCGTGCCTCCTTCAGGATCACACAAACCGCGAGGTGGACAACACATGACTTGGCAGAAAGGCATGAAAGATATCACGAAGAGCTTGGGTGTTGTTGGTGCTGTACGCCTTCCAGGATGGGGTCCCCGTGACCCCGTCTGTGCTTGGTTGGAGACGTTGCAAGAAATGGCGCTAATCGATGTTCGTGGCGTTCGTGCAATCAGTTTCTTTCCAGACTATCTGATTGAGCGGTCGGAGGTGTGGGCACCTCAGAATGCCTGACATAGGCCAGCACTAGGTCCCCTCCCTCACCCACTCTCTTCTCTTCACAGTAGGGCTTTTAGTATAATTATATATGTATAATATATATGGACGAACCTTATGGTTGTACGGCAGTGAAGCATCCGTGCCAACACTGATGTTGCTGTCTTTGATGATGGAACTGGGCGTTGCCTAAGGTGTTCAGAATCACTGGAAGAACTAATAAAACTCACCATCAGGCTTAGGTGTTTGGCAGATGTACCACGCATACCAAAAGCGCCGTTTGTCTTTTCGAACCATTTGCCAAGGTCGGCGAACAGACCAGCNTCATTTTGAATCCGCGGTAGGGAAAGAATCAAGGAGGACAAACCATCCTGTATTTGCGGGAAATTTGAGCGTCTACGGTCGGACCGGGCGCTACGAGGTTTCCGCGCTATCTACATGTTCCTTTTTCACACTTTCTTATAAGACTTGGCGATTAAGCGAACATCACAGTGACTTATTTTGGGTAGACTACCCTACACAATCCATCGTGTTTTGGGCTCGCCTGCAAAGGGACTTAGCTCAGTCATGCTCATTGCGTCTTACTCCCATACGATGGGGCGAGTTGAACCAAGTGGTTAGAGCACCAATTTACTGACCAGAAGGTCCGTGGTTCGAATCCGACCACTGCTTCTCGACTTCCTCTGTCTAGGCTTGGGCAACCTGGCAGTATCCCAGCCCTCGTGCTTCCCTCAGGTGGCATGGCAGCTAAGAACCGAAAGGGTGCTACAGCTGAACGACTCCCATATGATTCTCAGAATTATTTGTCTCATTGTTGTTCTATGGTTTAGGTACTTTCTTTTTGATTGTTTTCCATCTTGGACTAAAGTTTTTTTTCACTAATCTCCCTTTTTTTCAAAACTTTTTATCATTGGGAAATTGCTTCCTACTGCTGTCGATGATGATGAAGCCCTTGATTCACATTGGATTAGAAATACGTCTGCATTCTATCAGAAATAAACGTCAGTGGTAACAGTAATTTAGTGTTCTTTGCAGAAGTCCAGTGCACAACGACAAATGAATATATTTTTGGAAGAATTTTCCGTGAGTTGACAGGATTATCGCCAATCGGATCCATTATGTCTACTGTAGACGATAGTGCAACTCTTATATCGGCCGTCGGCTTACTTTTCCGCCAACTGTAGTTTATCAAAAGGAACGGTAGGTAGAATCTTATTGGCGGTGCGAGAAGTACCAAATACTTGACCGTGATTGGCTCACAATCTGACCAATCGGTGTATGCTCTCCCATGGTTCGTAGCCGGCTCGCGACACATCCGTCCAATCGATGTGATGTTGGGTTATTTAGAGTGGCTCGTCTCCGGACAGTGTCACATCTGTTTGGGAGTCACGTGGGCTGCAGGCTCAAACTTGTTTGCTGATCTGGCGATTCTGACTGGTTACTAAGGTCTGGCTTACGCACCATCTCTCCACAGCTATATCCAGCTATGTTACGAAAGGATTGAAGATTGCATCTCTTTTTAAACAGCTCTTAGGCTCGCAAAGTATAGCCAATACAGATTAGGAACTAATTAATTTGAAAAAAAGGGAGTGATTCTTGTCAGGTGTACTCGTCAGGTATAGTTCGCTTGGTTTTTGTCCCTAGCCGATATGGATTTTAGACAGGTACCGAGATGTGGTTGCATTTGAATGGAGGTCGCACTAAAGACGTTTTCAAAAGGAGATCAACGGAAGTAAACAAGTAAAAATGACGTTGAGGGAGCGTCGATTAACTCAGGCAGTTTGCCTTGGACCAGTCGCACCATGTTTATATGAAACAACAAGCTCAGTCGAGGGCTACGTAATATTAAAAAAATGGTTTCCGGAGACTTGGTGGTACACGATGGTTAAGAGGTGCACCTCCATGAATGGTTAAACGAACCCTACGCTCGTGGTGGTCTGTCTCCGTGGACGGAGTCATTAGACAGTGATAAACCCTTACACCATTTTCTCCTCTCCTTCCAGTGTCCCGGTCGGATTCTGGCAGAGGGGGGCGAGGAACCGGGAGCGACTCGTTCGCCGACCTTTCCAGTGACGCATACAGTGATCTGAGTGACTCAAGTCGGAGGCAGTCCGAACAACAGTCAGTCTGGTTGCGCTACGTTCGTGACTATTCAACGGTAAACCTTTCCTGGGCTTCTTTCCAAGCACATCGTGCCATACTGGGTCTGGTCGGTTTTTGTCTTTGTACCGAAACCAAAAACGTGGTGGATTCAGTGCAAGCCTACCTTCAGCAAAAGGTGAGTACAGAGGCGCTCTACGACCTTCGATTTTCAACTGAACATGTGTTTTACCCCACCCGTCTCGATAACCATGTTAAATCCCCTTAGAGAGCAGGGATTTTAGCTTTTGACTACAACGGACCTACTCTGGTCACATACCTATAAATTGTGCGCAAAAGACTAACTGCCATTCTGAACGACGTGAGTGGATAAAACCTCAAATTTGACGAATAAACGGCTGGTGCAAAGCCTAGTTTATGGCACCAAACTTTGAGGAGCTTGTGGGAAACGCTAGATTCGCCTTCTCCAGGAGCTAAGCTGGTCTAGATCAATACGGTTCTTTTTCTCCCGAGATACTTTTTTCCAGGAGGCGGGGTTGTCTGTCAAATTGGTAGCAGTTTCGTGAGCTATCTCAATTTTAAGAAAGCGATAGCTTCTTGTCACCATCCGCAGGAGCGAACGAAACTTCGGTTAGCCGGTCATCACCTCATAACTTTAGCGGTCTTTCGGCTTTCTTTTATATCGCAACAGTACTTGAGTGAAACTCTTCCGGTTTTTGATCATCAGAATTTCGGCGATGATCTCTTTCTGGTGAGCACATCTTTCGATAAACTTGCCATCACCACGTGCAACTTTTCGCACGCGGTCTATTCTCCGAATGATAGGCCACCGGTTTTTTCCATCACATGCCGATTCCTTCCCTACAGAGCTTTGACAGTCAGTGCGTAGAAGAGCGTTGCTATTTGTCGAATTGATTGATTGATGGATTGATTGGTAGTCTGTTTTCTTCCTTGCGGGACTCGTTTGCTCTCTGGGACTCAACATCTGGAGAGCGAAGTTGTCTTCACATCGCTCCACAACACTTAATGTTCACGGAATGGGCAGCAGAAATGTGTTGTCCAAATACTACTGCGAAAAATGGCCGCCATCTTGTGGGACCATCTTCACAGGGTTCCTTCTAGCCGTGAACAAGGGTACCGTCGCCCGGTCTCTTCAGTACCCCGGTCAGTCTCCACAACGTTGTCCGAAATGCCTGCACTAAGGTCTGACTTGCGAACCCACGTCTTTCAATCGCCGTATTCCGAGTGACGTATCCCATTTGTTAGATGTGAAGCACCTTTCGGAGCGCTTGATGGATGGAAGCACCAGGAAACTAGCTCATCACCCCTCTTTGTTACGTGCTTTGAATGACCGTGGGGCAACGTTCTGTTGAGCTGTACTCGGGGGAGAAAACTCCACGCGACACCCGCGGTCAGTGTGTAGAGGTTTAACGAACACAGTCTGCTTGGCCCTCTAGTTCGGGGTTCGAACACGTGTAGTGGCACGGTTTTTGAAAGTTGAACTACGCCTTATATCAAGTAAGTGCAAATACCTAATTTCCCGCCAAGTCGGTCGGTGCGTGGTGCTCTACTTGCTCGATACAGCAGAGCGAGTAATCGACGGCAAGCTACTGCCTTCCATTCATCTGTTACCCTGTTCATGTTGCCACTTTTAATCAGGCTTATACCGTTCAGCTGTGGCACCATTTCGGTGCCTAACTGCTATGCCACCAGACGGAAGCACGAGGGCTGGGATACTGCCAGGTTGCCCAAGCCTAGACAGGGGAAGTCGAGATGCGGCAGAGGTCATGTCCGAACCACGGACCTTCCGGTCAGTAAATTCGCGCTCTAACCCCTTGGACCATCTCGCCCATCAGCCTTATGCACACTTGCCCCTTCGCATTCGCTTTTCAAGCCTTGTTCCTCCGCTCTTCAACGTCTGTAATCCCAAACCGATCGGTCAACACGCCGTTTTAGCGCGCATTCTTTATTCCGGATGCTTAGAATTCCCGAAAAAAAACCAGCTTGCCTAGTCCGCCATCTGGATGCGAACTGCATATGATTATCCAGCTGGTGAAGCGAGTCGAGTAGGAATTGCCGTCCCTACCTTGTTCGTCCCCATTGCACCAACGAACTCTATTTATGACTCAGCAACCACTGCCCTATAACCCTCCGGCGTACCACGAACATCCTCGTCGGAGAAGTAAGATTTCCCAGATCATAACTCGAAGCCCGTTCTACAGTGTTGTCCCCCTTACTAGTTGGTCTTCAATACTACTGAGTGTAGGCACATTGGGCGCCGTTACGCTACCTAGCATGTGCCACGGAGCTAGATTGGTCATATTAGCTGTCGATGTTTGTTGAACGCGCTGGAGCACCCACGGTGATTCAATATCCTAATCTCCCTCGTCCTCACTGATCCACACTTTGGACAAGCCGATACGAAGCCCCAAAAGTTGTGTTGTAATTGGGGCGCAATCACGACTTGGAATTCAATGTGGTGTGTGAATAGGGGCCCATCCAGTAAACATTAGAATACCAGTGAAGGGAAGAAGGCCTTCGCTGCGGAGTTATTTATGGGAAAATGCCAACTGACCATTGGACAGGGATGCAAAACTCTGATTTACATCTTATTTACAAAAACTGGACATCCATGTTCTCCTGAACGCGTCTTCTTGAACTTTCCTGGATATTCATTGACTCCAATCATTCCTCGCTCAAATTCAAGCAAAGGCTGCAAAGTTAGTCCACCAATTCCGCAACAGGTTTCCCCTGTTCAAGAGACGCAAGGCGAAATTCCACGGACAACGCATACTACTCGCGTGCCTCCCAATCAGTAGCATCACCGTTACACCAGGACAGTCGTTGTCACTCAGTGATGCAAGACGTCATATCTTCTGCGATCATCAGTACCCGAATATCTGATACTCAAGAGTAACGTGCGTAGGAATAAAAAAAACGTGACAGAATCGAAGCGGAAGGTGTACTGGAATGTACGGAGACTCTTCCGCCTCAGAACCCGAAAAATGGCTGAGTGAGACAAGAAGAACCAATGTCTTGACTGCCGGGCGAAATAGTTCCAAACCCGGTTGAGTTTTTTCTGCCTGCCAGTGAACCAGTTTATGCTGAAAATCCAGCAAGCACTGTTTCCTCCTCATTGGACATCATCAGCCAAATCGTCGACCTTGGGGCAGTGTGATCAGTCCTCGCATGAGCTGAGTTGACTTTCTACCTCTGTACCTTCGCCTTCTATTCGACGCACTCAACTCGAGTTTTGGTCTGGGAACAGAGAGCCGGTGTGCTTTCCCAAGATTTTCTACCTTGGAACTGTCGGGTCAGATAAGTATAAACCAGGAGTAGCCAAAGACGATGAGTCTTTGCGTTCCGCTGCAACCGGATTGTTTGAACCGACTTCAGAAAAAGGGTTCTTTTTGGACAACTCGGCTCAATAAAAAAACTCAGTGTTTGGGTGCGAACTTATTGACCGGGCATATCGACTGCCTGTATGCAGGCTTGGGCAGCCTTTCCCCGGGGGTGGGGGGCATGGGAGCTAGGTACCAAAGAGGTGGTACACTTGAACTATTATCTGGGCCACTTGATCGGAATGGTTGATCGATCGCCTGGTTTTATCTCCATTCCTACACTATTTTTTTTCACTCTCATTCGAATGCGTTTGTGTGACTTTCCAGGCACTCATATCCGAGACTCGACTAAGCGGCCGTCTGTTCATTCTTGTTCCAACCACGGGGTCTTGTGATCTCACCATTGAGGACGTGAACCAAATCATATCGGATGAACTTCAAAAGGTAAGTGCTTCTGTGTTTAGTTATCATGACTTTAGCACTCGTGTCTGCCTGCCCGAGACTTGTGAAATGGTTCTTTGCTGTTCAAAGATCTTCGCTTGAGTCCGTAGACCAGGTCCGCAAGCAGCTACATGGACTAAGGAGGTCTGTTCACAGTTTTATCGTAATCCGCCGAATAACTCTGTTCACACCTTGTGAGCAAAGTCAGACTCGATACTAACTGGGTGTTTTGCGGCATAGTTGGTTTGTTCTCCGAGTTGTGCGACTCGGTTGCAGTCCAGCGAACAAACCAGTGAGCATCTAAACAACATGAGGTTACAGAGATCACAGGTTTTGTTCCCAGGAGCTTCAAATACCAGGTCGTTTTGCCATCCTGTTCACATTTTCACGAGTACGAAGACGAGAAAAAAGTGTTTGTGTTTTCTCCATCCGGTTTCACAAAACTGTCCTGTTGTCAAGTCAACAACCCTCACTAGATATTTGAGTTGGTTCGATGCACGTCGCACATTCGCAAGCGTTCATCGACTACGGACAGTTAACGACGCGCCTATATTGGTTCTACAGGACATCAGACGACGCGGTATTTGGTTTATTTTCGGAGCTGGACAGTTTGATTGGAAGCGTTTCATCAGCTCAACTCAGCTCAGCTGTGCTGAGCTAGGTTTTATCAGTCAGCCCAAGATTTTCACTACTCATATTTTTTAGTTATATACGCCTATCTTTTATATGTTTCATTCTACACATTTCTTACGACATAGATTATATCATCTTCTTCGTTACACCTGATGCACACAGAGCTGTAACTGTCTTTACTGTTTGTCGCCTCATCAATTGCGGTCAAATCATTCAACGAAACAAGTGTTGATTTTTTTGTGATGGTCCAATAATCAATCGATTTTACTTGCTTCACACACGGCGCACGTGACATTTCATTTTTCACCTCACCTTGTCAGTTAGAAACTGGAGCAGTTTTTAGTGAACATTTTGCTTGGTTGCTTTTTCAATTGAGGCTTTGTGTTTGGTTACCGTATTTTCTTATTTGTAAAACTTTGTCGTATTGACCTGTCCATCGGGGGTAGGTGTTAGGTGATACCATTCTAGCATGTATGTTTAGACTTTTGTTACTCGCCCACGAACTGATAGTCACCATGTCATATTAACTAATATTTTGAAAATTGAGCACGATGTAGATATATGGTTGGGGATAGCTCAGTGGTTACTGACCAGGGGGACGTGTTTCGAATCCAACCCTGACATCTCGACTGTTCCTGTCTATGCTTTCTCGTGCTTCCATCGGCGGGAGCATGGCAGCTAGGTACGGAAGGGACGTCGCACCTGAACGATACACTACTGTGCTTGCGAGCCCTGTTTAACTGCTTAAAATTGCAGGCTAACCAATCAACACGGTAGATAAATTTGTTCGCCTCTGACGACCAGGCTGGAGGGAAGATCACTCCTCGAATCCGGAAGGTTAGGTCACTGTTTTCCAACCTCCGACATGACATCAGTTTGTCTGTCAAGAGCAGGGCGATCAGAAACGTGGTTTGTATGCGCAGAGGACGGACGAAAGCTGTTAGTGTTTGACTGTCAGTGAACGGATCTAAGGGGAACAACTGATTAGCAGTGGTACACCAAACGGTTTGAGGAGAGAGGAACTCTCCCAAGATGCATTGGCTACGCTAGTTAGAATTTTTATTCCGCATGCTGGTGGATGTCTTCCCCGCAGAGTTCTTTTCACCCAGTCCTGTGGAGGCTACCGAGAGGTGACCTGGCAATGAAGTATGAAAAAAACACTAACCAGTAAACCGAGTCGGGTCGACGGCTGCTACCTCCCTGGATGGGTACCCCGGAACTTAACTCATCAATGGTTGATGACACTGGCAAAAATGACCCAGTCGCTCAGTCAGTGGCGCTCGTACATCAAAGCTCTTGCCTTCATGCCATTGCCTCCAACGCCCGACTGTATCTCCCAACTTCTCCCATATTCTGGTAGCAACTGGCTGACTTAAAAGTGACTCTCCTCTCTCAAACAGTGTCACTCAAACTTCTATCGACGCCTTCGAACGCTGGTATTTATCTGTTGCCCATTCGTCAACTCGCCTTTCCTACCTAAATGACGTCCCAAGTTCTTTCGGGTTTGTTGATTCAGTCATTCTGTTTCTGTGAATACCGTTTTTCTAAATATTATTTTTCGTGTTTTGCTCAGTTCTCTTCACCATCCCACCTGTACACAAATCTCGAACTTGGCTTTTCTAGCTCACCGGACTTTGAACTTTGGCGTGAGTTCGGTGACCCTGTTGCATGTCTGCCTGCCGAGACAGAGTGCATGCCTGTCCAGGATATTGACCTCTCTGCTGTCTACTGGGTGTTCCTCTGTCGATATGTTAAGTAGATAGACCCAGGTAGATGACTCCCCTCCCCACGGAAATCATTTGCATTCCATCTTTTTTTCGTCCAGTTTGGCCGTGACGTCACTGCAACCTAGGGATCACATCTGTCGGGACACATCCACAACTACCCGTGTTTTTATTCAATATGCTTTGTCCTAACTCGTAATTAGTAAAAGTCAGTATCTGGCATGCTCCACTTGACGCCACCATGATCGATTGAATCGTGTACACATCTCTGGGGGCAGATGGCTCGGTGGTTAGAACGCGAATTTACTGACCGGAAGGTCTGTGGTTCGAACCCGACCTCTGCCTCTCGAATTCCTTTGTCTAGAGTTGGGAAACCTGGCAGTATTCCAGCTCTCATGCAACCTTCGGGTGGCATGGCAGCTAGGCAGATAGTGTCACACCAAAACAATACAAAAACTTTGTACATGTCCCCTTTATTTTCATGAATATATACTCCTGTTTGAATTTCATATAGCGGTGGCATGACTATCATCATATGAATTTGCGATGTATAAATCAAGATGGCCAATATAAAAAACGGGCTTTGTTCGCTACTATCGTTCTCCCCTTGACTTTTACACTGGTCCTCAATCGCCTCTATCCTCAGTTACGTTATGACTCGAGTTTCAATGCATGTTTTTTCTCGTGGATTCGTTTTGGGTAGCCTTGCTCGGAGATGCATGAATGAATCAGTTTTTGACAAATGGGGTGAGATGGCTCAGGGGGTTAGAGAGCGAATTTACTGTGACCGGGAGGTTCGTGGTTTGAACCCGACCTCTGCCGCATCTCGACTTCCCCCCGGTATATGCTTGGGCAATCTGGAAGTATCCCAACCCTCGTGCTTCCTCCGGGTGGCATGGCAGCTAGGCAGGTGTTACAGCTAAACGATTTTTTCTGACAAATACAACAAGAGGAACGTCATAGTCCTTTAAGCGAAACCCTTCCGAGCTGGTCCCTACTAGAGGCCAAGTGCCCCTCTCCTGCCAGTCGTTCTTCTTGTGAATAACATAGCAACTCCTGTGTTCGATTACTCACACCTAGACTCGTATCCTCTTCATGAAGAGTCAACTTTACTGCCGGGTGCTTGTTTGTCCACCTCCGTAACCCTCTGAGCTATACTGGGACTATACAGGGCCTCATACCAAGTTAGTCTCACAGGTTTGACTAACACAGTTTCCTGGTCCTCCAGATTGGGGCTTGGACTATGTGTGGTGATTCGTTCGTTGAATGTTCAGACTGATCGGCTGGCCAACCACCGCTGCCTTGCCGTTAGACTTCCGGGCCTTGGGCTCCTTGGCAGTAATTGAGGCCATACACAACCGCGAATGGCTTGCTCGCGGACTATGTAGCTGTGATTTTCGGATGTATTCATCCGAAGTGGAATGAGGTTGAGATGGCTCAAGTGGTTAGAGCTCGAACTTACTGACCGGAAGGTCCGTGGTTCGAACCCGACCTCTGTCTCTCGACTTCCCCTGTCTAGGCTTGGGCAACCTGGCAGTATCCCAGCCCTCGTGCCTCCTTGGTGTGGTAAGGCAGTTAGGCACCGAAAGGGTGCTACAGCTGAATGAAGTGGAGTGAGATCTAGATGGAATCCGCAGTTGCTGTTTTCGTTTCATTCCAAGCGCTTCCATTTTGTTCTGTGACCCACCCTGAAGGACGGAATCCTCATCAGCGTGATTCGATAGCCCTCACTTGGTTGGCTGTTTGTATCAGCAGATAAACACCTAGTTGTGAATTGTTTTTTTTTCGCCTGTTCTGTGCAGCATGCTTTACAAATTTATCCAGAAAATTGTTTGCTTGCAGTAAGCGAGAATCAAAGCTATGTCTAGTCTTGTTTTACCAATGCGTGTGATTTGCCCGAGGTCTCCACAGTGTGAAACTATCCAGCCACTTCATTTCAACTGCACTTTCTTGTTTTTTTTTTGCGTGTGTGTGCCACTAGATGCCACAAAATCTACTTCTGACTGTCGGAGAGATCCTGGCCCACCCAGCCGAGCAGCTGTTCACTACGAACGCGCTAGTCGTAAAACAATCGACCCTCGACGATCGTTCGGTTACAAATGGTCCGGATAGCAAACCCCAAGTTGATTCCGTCAAATCCCATAACACGTCACCACCGCTTCTGACTCCACGAGTTGTCGGCACATTGGTCGACTTGGCCGCACAGATTCGGGATGCCCTGCAAAACACCGTGGAGAGTATCAACCCTAAACCGTTTACTGGTCTGCACAAAAGCTACGCGCCTTCCGGTGTTGACTTATCCGATGGGGAGAGTTCCGAATCCGGGATGAGCAGTTTCTCCGGCGGTCCGACTGTAATGAGTGATGTTGGGTCTGGGAAGGCAACGGTGGATGGATTGAATTCTTTGGATGAGCGTCGCTTTATCGTCAAACCCTATCTGAATTACACGAGCAATGCGGCCGGTAATCGGGGTCTTACTAACCCGAACGCTGCTGAAGATGCTGGGTGAGTATGCCATCTATTCATCTTACTGTCCAATACAACCGCTTTGTTTTTTGGGTTACTTTCGTAAGCTGATTGAGATCCCCAGGATCCCTTTTTCCCTTCCTGAGCAGTATTCAACGTGAGATGTACCATGCTCCAATCCCTTGTCAAGCGCATACAAAGGCGCGGAGGTGTTTGTTGAACAGTTCACGGTCGGGTCGTGCATTTCCCTGTTTGTATATATACATATATATAATCTGAGGAGTTTGCAACACATCACCCACCAATCAGATGAGTTGATCACCAATCGATGGAGTAGTATACCGTTATGTGACCAGGAAACTGAAGAAGCAAGCTCTTCTTTGTGCTGCGTTTGGTTGTCACCCGCCCGGTTCACTGACAACATCTGTTCTGTTTTCAGAATGGACTGAAAACCACCATAACTGGTCATAAACTTGGGGGGTGAGAGCTGGCTTAGGGTGCATTCATTTGAGACATCTAAAATGATAACTAATAGGATAGAATGGTTCACCTTTGGAATCTTTTCGGTGCCTAGCTGCCATGCCACACGAGGGCTGGGATACTACCAGGTTGCCCAAGTCTAGACCAGGGGGAAGTTGAGGGCGATTTGCCGTGTGTCCATGCCACGTGTCTTCCAACTGCAGCAATGTTGATATGGATAACTCGAATGTGGAGTTATCACCACCGACGTCTTGGTTAACGGCGCAGTACTGGTGGGGGTTTTCCACGTCTTTCGTTATTGAATAGCTTTCCTGTCACAGCCAGACTGGTGTCAAAAACACTGGTACCGCTATATCCTCTCCAAGTTTGAGTTAGTCACGAAAAAGAGCGTTCAGCTGTATCACCTTTTCGGTGCCTAACTGCCATGCCACCCAAGCGTAGACCGAGGGGCGAGATGGTCCAAGTGCGAATTTACTGACCGGGAGGTCCGTGGTTCGAATCCGACCTCCGCTGTTCGACCTTCCTCTGTCTAGGTTCGTGCTTCTTTCGGGTGGCATCGCAGCTAGGCACCGAAAGGGTGCTACAGCTGAACGCTTTCTTTCCATAGACCGGGGGGAAGTCGAGAGGCAGAATTCGGATTCGAACCACCGACCTTGTGGTCCGTAAATTCGCGCTCCAACCACTTGGACCATCTCGCCTTCACGCTTCTGGTCAACTGCTCGTTTGGGAACAGTTAAGTGTTCCAACTACTAGCCAACTGGTTGCGGGTTCGAGTTTTGCACTACTGATAATTCCCAATACGGATGAAACCGCTGTAAAGTGCTTCATTTATATGAGCAAATCTCCTAGTTTCCCCAAGCTACCAACAATGTTGCACAAAGTACCAACGACATCACTTTTCGCGCTCCACTTGGACCATCTCGCCTTCACGCTTCTGGTCAACTGCTCGTTTGGGAACAGTTAAGTGTTCCAACTACTAGCCAACTGGTTGCGGGTTCGAGTTTTGCACTACTGATAATTCCCAATACGGATGAAACCGCTGTAAAGTGCTTCATTTATATGAGCAAATCTCCTAGTTTCCCCAAGCTACCAACAATGTTGCACAAAGTACCAACGACATCACTTTTCTCACCGTATCCCCTCTCACCTGCGTTTTTGATGATACATATTCTGGTCCACCTTCTGTATCCAGCTTCAACTTCTTTAGGTAAGTGTTCCTCGCCGTCCAGATTACTCTCCCGGACTCATTGTGTGTTTCTAACGCGGTCTCGAACTGACAGCTCTCTTTCGCTGCCGTTTTTTTCGCAGCTTGGTGATGCTACTATCAACTAACTTTGCGTTCTATTCTCATTTACTCTCAGCTCACTATGCCGTGCATTCGAGTTTTTTTCGCCCCAGTCCCAACTCGGGGCTAGCTTTCTGTGGGGTTCATTCAAGCGACTGATTGAATGAGTAAATTTCGTGGCAATCTTTCGGTCCTCTCTTCAAAAGATGCCACTCTTTAACAGCCCCCCCCCCCGGGCACACGTTTGCTGGACATGTTCCGATTACGTCTCTGTGTGAACATCTTGCACGTTGGACCCGACCGATTGGACATATTACAAGCCCGGTCTTCTGACTAGTCTCGGTTATTTCCGAAAATTCCCATTTATAATAAGAACACAGATGAGTTGACGAACATGTTTTCGGCAAGGTCTTTTCAAGTCATACAATTGCAAAGGTCAAGAGAGCAGTATTTAACCTATTTGAAAGAGTATTGTGTAAATGGACAGGGGATCGAGTGAGATGACATTGGCTATCTATCAAAGAACTATTAGTTCAGGTCGCCAATAGGACGACTTGAGCTAGTCAGCTCGGGGGGTGTTGTAGTTGTGTGTTCAACACACGGTGCATGTGTGGGGGGAGGTGAGTTGGACCATGGTAATAACAACACACGAACGAGGCGTTTTTGCCCACAAAGGATCGGGTCGTGATGTCGGATGGCGATAGTTTCAGCCACTGCAATTGTGCGCTGCTGTACTGATCTGGGTTGATAAGCCGGCGCCTTGTAAACAACGCGGAAACTTTGGCTGGGTATCACGTTGTGTGCAGTGTCAGCCAAATGTTGTACTACAGAACTGGTTATCGTCCTCCTAGTTCCAGAAGCTAGCCAGGGTGGGTTGTGTTCCTTCATTCTTTGGCCCAGTTGCCTAGTCGTGCGTCCGATCTATTCCGCTGCACAGCAGCAAGAGAATGAGTAAACTAACATATTTTGGGTGTGGACAGGCACTCTATCCTTGAGGGGTACAAACGATTGCTGGTGAACCAGGTTCGGGGGGTTGCGGCCGGGACAACTTTATTCAGACTGGTGGAAAGTCTTCTGTTCAGTAGATCGGCCGGTCTATCTCCCTTAAACGGGAGGCTAATGTAAACTGGTTTCCTTCCAGCTGTGGCTGTGATTGACGCTTTGTAATAAACTTCTCGGGGAATCCATTGTCTCTCAGGACGTTGGTGAGAGTTCGGAATTCTTGTTCCAGCGCATCATCAGAGCGTATTTTCTTCGCTCTATTAGTTAGGCTATGGAACAGGTTCCGTTTCTGCTTTAGTGGCACGAAGCTGCTCAAGTCAATGTATTGACAGGACCAAGTAGGTTTTCGGTACACCGATCGTTTCAGTGTACCATCGTGACGTCGTTCAAGGCCAACATCTAGTGTGTTGTACTTACCATGGTCCAACTCACCTCCCCTCACACATGCACCTTGTGCTGAACAGCACCCCCGCTCTGGTTAGCTGAAGTCATCCTATTGGTGACCTGAACCGATTGTTCTTTGATAGGTAACCAATGTCATCTCACTCGATTTTTTGTCCATTTACACAATACTCTTTCAAATATGTTACATACTGCTCTCTTAACCTTTGTATGACTTGAAAAGACCTTGCCGAAAACATGTTCGTCAACCCATCTGTGTTTTCAGTTATTTGTTTTACTTGGAGGTTATGGGTATGAATGCGAGAATTTCTTGATAGGTGAAACACCGAATTGGGTCATCACCCCCAGCCCTGAATGCAAAAATATGCATTTTGAATAGCGCGCCTTTTTCATTTTTCATGTCATACACTTGTCTGGTGAACGGCGCTGTTTTGTGTGTTGATTTCTAATCATCAACTTTACTTTCATGTTATTTCTTACGCGCATGTTTCACTTAGTTTACTGTGAAAAATCGAATTGGTTCAGCTATAGTAGCACCCTTTCGGTGCCTAACTGCCATGCCTTGCAGAAGAAGGCACGAGGGTTGTCAGGTTGCCCAAGCCTAGACAGAGGAAGTCGATAGGGTAGAGGTCGCGTTCGAACCATGGACCTTTCAGTCATTAAATTCGCGCTCTAACCGCTGAGCCATCTCGCCGGAAGGGTGCCACAGCTGAACGAACGAACTTTGTTGCGGGACGGATTTCATGCCACGGGAGTCTTTTGGGTGGTCATTGTTGGGACGTAGGAGGCGGTCTTTCGAAATTTCGGAATTTCAGTCCAAATCTCACCGGACCAGACTTTGATGGTCTCAGTTGCTTGAGAGGGTAGTCCTTCTTGAGAGACATCCCATTAGTGAGATGGTGTGTATGCCTATCGATCCTCAGTGACTTTTCGCCTCAATGGTGGGTTTTGCACCGAGCCTCACACAAACTCATGGTTTCGACGTGTACTCGCGAGCCCCAGATCAACTAGCAAACGGCTTTTGCAGGAAATCACTCTGTCGTTATCGACGACGCGCCCACATTCCCTATCAATGTCCCTGAGGGCCGCCTTTGGCACCTCAGTAAATAATCATCGAAATCGGCCACTACAAACATCGTACAACATGTACGCGCTTGAAAGCCGATGACGATTCCACTGACTATATGCTTGCCGACTTCAGCAACCCTTTGGTGATATATATATATATATATATATATATATATATAAAGGTAGGGCACGGGGGTGTGTGTTTAGCAAACCATGAAGCGCTAAGTGTTGTAACTAAATCCTGTCCCCCCTCCAGTACCTTAGTGTCGAAAAAGGACTCGCAACAGCGAGTGCAACAGTTAG